GGACATTTTTTTTAACTGGAGAGAGAAGAGAAATGCAACACTTCTTATTCCTGTTACTTGAGAAGGACAGCAGGAAGTGGAGGGCCCACTCTGTGACAAAAGGGGCCACTTTCACCGCCTGCTGCGTCTACGTGCACATCCGCCCAGCGCGCCACTGACAGATAACACAAGAAGAGGAGCTGCTATCGTGCTGTGCGTACCGCGGGGGACATTGTGAATGATGCGTCGTAAGGGTGCCGCGGCGCCTCCTGTGGATCCAACGGTCTCTGCGTTCCGACTTCTTACCACTGCCGGCCCAGAGGACGCCCAATCCAGCAGCTTAATCCGAGTCTTCCTAATGATTCCAAACTCTACAAAGGCATTGAGGAGGCAGGTTTCCCGGTCTGGTGACAACGTTGGTTCCGTTGCCCGAATATATAACTAATGGGGCTTTAGGCCTTGTTCACACCAAGCGCAGAGCGGATCAGTTGCAGACCGCATCAAAACTGCGTCCAATGTATTCCAATGGTATTAGTTGCTCCAGTTCACATCGCAGCGTGCAGGTCCAGAGCAGGTGAAAAAACTGCAGCATGCCCTATTTTACCTGCTCTGAATCTGCAAATGCATCAAAAACGCATGCAAATGCCTGGAACTCACTGAAAGCCGATTTTGAACTTTAAAAAAATATATATATATTTTATTTTTTTTTACCCAAAAACGCATCTAAAAGACTAGCGTGCGTGTGCAGAAACCTGACCGGGTCTGCTCTGCATTTGGTGTGAACAAGGCCTTAGCCTTCCTAAATTTGCCCCCACGCCCTTCGTGCCGGGACACCTAAACCCTGGTGGATATATCAGCTCTACCAGGGGCTTTCCATTGGCATTTTCCTCATGTACCCCTAAGGCAGGCATGGGCAAATTAGTTCAACAGCCAGTCGGCCTATTCTGGGTTCCATCTGGAACTTTCTATGACCTGAGAGCATGCAGGCTGAAGTACATGTCCTGGCCATATCCATGGCGGCATCTTTTATAGAGGGGGTTAGGCCTTGTTTAACCCTTTTGGTTCCCGTCAGCTAGGGGTAATTGGATCTAAACCAGGGGTAGCAGACCTCCGGCCCTCCAGCTGTGGTGAAACTACAAATCCCATGATGCATCTCTCTGCGGGAGTCATGTCTGTGAGAATCTTGCAGTGCCTCGTGGGATTTGTAGTTCCACCCCCAGCTGAAGAGCCGGAGGTTTGCTACCCCTGGTTTAGATCCAATTACCCCTAGCTGACAGGAACTAAAAGGGTTAAACAAGGCCTAACCCGCTCTATAAAAGCCCCTCCTCCTGCTGACTTCCCCAGTCTGATACCCCTGATCTAAACCCATTTGTCAGCGCTGCCATGGAGTATAACAAGGAAAAGAAAATTACGGTAAGTATGATTAAATTTTCCGTTTTAATTGCTTGTGGGGGTGAGCTCGGGTTCAGACCGGGTTCAATACAAACCTGAGCTCCTCCCAACCTCCGCACTGCAACCCAATCAGCTGCACGTAAACAAATGGGTGGGGTGCTGTGACATCATTGACCTTGTATGGTCACATGGCTAAAAGACCATATAAGGTCAACAATGTCAGTACACGCATCCCACCCCTTTGTTTATGCGCAGCTGCAGGGTAGGGAATGCCCCGGCCTGCAGCTGATTGGGCTGGTGGCCCCTTGTTCCTTCTGGTTTAGAAGGAGCTGAGGTTCGGTCCAAACCAGAGGTGGATTCTACTTATACGCGGGAGGTTTCATTCTGTCAATTCCCTCAGCTACGCATTACATACGGAGAAGTGCCAACGAAGGGTTACATTTCAAGGCCACGAGCCTGTAAATCCTCCGTTGCATGAGAGCTCCGGGTCTTCAATAATGGAAAAGGCTCCATAAAGGTGTCAGATGTCCCTTTTTTAGGAGCATTAGCTGCTATAGGACACGTGACTGTGTCCGGATCCATGGATTGGACGGTGTTTGGTACCATTGTCCGGTCCGCTGTCTTCTCCCAGTTTTAGTTTAGATTTTGGTGCAATCCGGGGGATTTCTGCACCTCACAGACATGATAAATATGCACCCTGATCAGGCGTGTGTGGAGCCCAATGAGAGGAGCCTGGCACAGAGCTGGTATATGGCGTCCAATCTGCACTGGTATCACTTCCACTACAAGGCTGCTGGAGTTTATACGGTATAGTGGTAGAGGTCCGGTCTCCCCCGGAGGCAGCAGAGACTTCTGGGGACATGCCGTGTGTGGGAGATGCACACTGCTCCGGGCACAACATTGGGGGCACCAGCCGTAGGGGACCTATACAGGCTTACAAACAAGTGGCTGCAGCTATGGTGGGACTGCAGGCATCAGTGTGTGCTGCTGGGACTTGTAGTTGCACTACCGCTGAGTCCTCACGTGCCAGTACCTGTAATGGATCACGTGTTTGGTTGGGATGTAGCACCTGATATCCCCGCAAGGTGTCAGCACACCGCTAATGAAATTCCTTCAATATGCATTGCTGCTTCTAGCTGCGGACTGTCACCACAGTGTCCATGAAGAGCGTATAGCGCCACATTACATCCCACGGTCAGTCCTCCTGGCTTGCAGCACTGCAATGTTTTCAGTCACATTCCTCCGGTCAGATATAACGTGGCAAGCGGCCTCAGACATAAAACTGCCTGTGTTGCCAGTGGCAGCCGATCAGCCGTTTCTGGTGGATGGTAACATGAAGTCTGGCCGTTATCTGCAGGATTGGTGCCGGTCACAGATGGTTATCTGGGGGTCCCGTATAAAAGAAGTCCAGGTAAAAGTCCAGCACAATGGGGGGGGGGGGGGGGGGCGGGAGGAAAAGAA